CCCCCCCCCCCCCCCACACACACAAACCAGTTTATCTTTCCATCTTTTTTTTGGTGGGGGGTGTAGAGCTCTTACAATCTACAACGTAAACTAAATAAGGTTAAAAAAAGAATTAAACAAGTTTATACATAAATGAATAAAATAGAATAATGCGTGTCTTTTATCTTTATACAAAGTTCACTATTTTCATAAGAAATGCACAAAAATACATTCAGTGCTACAATAAAGTGTCTGTAAGAAAAGTAAAAGTAAAAAAGATAACGAAGGGGTCTGTTTATGAAATAAAGTTACATTTGTCAAGAAGAGTTATAGATTTACAAGTGTCTGATTATTGAAATTAAGTTTTTCCACAGAGGTAATTATGTTTCTTTACAATATTAAATGAGGGGATTTTCCCTCCATTTCATCTTGTGGACATAATATTTGGTCAGGATTATAATTAGATTTACTTGATATATTTCACCTGAAGAAAAGGCTGACTTGTTAAAGATGAGTAATGTTTGAATTTGTGATAAAACGTTGTTCTTTCCAACGTTCTCTGTCAGGAGTGTTTGCAAATCCAGCCAAATACGAGAAGAGTCCACAGATACATGTTCAACACGCTCATGAAAAGAGCACCTGTTGCTGACATTTGGAAAGAAGCAACAAATGTTGTCTCTAACTGGATAATATCTATGTAAATCTTAAGTACAATGTTTTGATCCTGTTAACAAGTATAATATATATATATATATTTATGAGGCAATAAGCAGACGGATGTTCGTTTCAGTAAGTCCATGTATGTTTCTAGATGATGTTTGTAAATGAGCTCTGATGAGCCTGTTCACACGGATCCGTTTGTCTTCTCAGATCTTTCACAGCATGTGGTCTCCGACTGCAAACAGGCCATGGACCTCCTAGAAGAAGGGATCGCTAATCGAATGACTGCTGCAACCCACAACCACGATGCCAGCAGCAGGTCCCATGCCATCTTTACCATCCAGTACACGCAGGTGTGCAGAGGCCTCAAACTCTGTCTCCTTCCATTTGCTCTGCCTGATACTAGGATGAAAGGCGGTCGGCACAACTTGCAGCTTTGTGAAGGTTCTTCTACTTTGATGGACTCATCTCTTTGTCTTATTTGCACAGGCAGTTTTAGAAAGTAACCTTCCTTCAGAAACTGTCAGCAAGATTCACCTGGTGGACTTGGCTGGGAGGTAAAGTGGTCCTTTGTTCCTGGGTGTTTGTTACAGTGCCCCCTGGTGGACTGGCTGACAGTCTGGGGAGTTTGTGAATGGATATGTGAGGAACTTCATGAGTGTTGTGCTTTGTAGTGAACGGGCAGACCCCCAGCTGTGCAGGGACAGACTGACGGAGGGTTCCAACATCAACAAGTCCCTGGTCACTCTGGGCGTTGTGATTTCAGCTCTTGGTAAATCAAGACGGTCTTTGATCAGTTTATGAAGTGTGTATAGTTTTGTGTTCTCGTTGCATAGACCTCTGCACAGTTGATGTTCCCTCCATTCCTTTTGAGTTCTCTACAGATGTTCTTGTTTGTGTACCTGTGTCTCCGCAGCCCAGAACTGCCAGATGTTCAGCAGCTGTCAGAGCATCAACAGCGTGGCCTCTGAGGGCGATGGCAGCTCGGTGGCTGCAGCGTGTGCAGGCGGGAGAAGGCACTGCTTCGTCCCCTACAGAGACTCAGTCCTGACCTGGCTGCTCAGAGACAGTCTGGGGGGCAACTCCAAGACCATCATGATTGCCAGTGAGTCCTTCACACTGCAGGCCTAGCTCTTCCTGAAGAAGTTCTCGCCAGACGTTTGAGCTAACATCATCTTACGTAGTGAGTGTCGAGTCCTCGCATCGCTGGCTCAAGTTCATCACGTGTGGTACATGAGGTGGAAGGAAATGATGCACTCAGGGTCCCAGTTACATCCAGATGTTGTCCCTCAGAGTTTGTGTTGTAAATGACACTCAGCTACTACCACGTTTACTTTTAGCTCAGCGTCTGTGAAACTGACTCTTCTATATTCTTGTGTTAGCTAAGCTTGTTAGATGTGGCCACATCTTAAATTGGGTTGACACCAAAAGTTACTGTGCGTTAGATGAAGCCCCAGAGATCACTTCCCAAGAGTTTCAATACAACTCGACCAATGGCTCATGAGATATTTTACTAACAGACAGACAACCAGACTGACACAGGCTAAAACATTATTGTCTGCTTTTTGCTTTGGGTGATAGCTAAAGCATGTTTTTATATTGATGGCTGCCTTTGAACAACACCAATATGAAACATCAAACACTTTGTCATTAGCATGTGCTAACTTTAGCAACACGCTAACTCGTGTGTTGTTGTTCTGCAGCGGTTTCACCCTCCGTGAACAGTTACAACGAGACGCTGAGCACCCTGCGCTACGCTGCCCGTGCCAGAAACGTTGTGAACAAGCCTCGAGTTAACGAGGTCAGTGGTTCAGTCACACATGACGCTTGTTTTGTAGAACGCTAACACGTTTTGTCTCCATGCAGGATGCTAACGTTCGCCTCATCAGGGAACTACGGGAGGAGGTTGACAGGCTGAAGAGCATGCTGCTCAGCTTTCAGATGGTACGATGAAGTTCTGCTGTGAAAACACGGAGCTCAAGAGCCTCTGGCCTGCAGGAAACTTACTCAGGACTTAGTACAACAATCACACGACACTAAGACCCTGAAGGTCCAACTTTAAAATCCATCTTCTGGATCCATTCTTCCTTTACGGGTCACTGGAGTCCATGTCCAGCAGTCACTGTCCGAGAGGCAGGGGACACCTGCACAGGTCTCCAGTCCATCACAGGGACACCTGCACAGGTCTCCAGTCCAATACAGGGACACCTGGACAAGTCTCGAGTCCATCACAAGGACACCTGGACAGGTCTCCAGTCCATCACAGGGACACCTGCACAGG